AGCCCCCTCCCCGCCGACTCCGGCTCGATCGCGCAGAACGGAACTACTGAGCCTGACACCATTGATAACGAGGGCTCTCCTCTCTCTACAGCTGCTCCCAAGTCTGAAGAGCCGGTCTCACGCCGCGTGCTTGAGTGGATGTGGTGCGAGAGGCTCCCGGCTCTAAACGAGCAGCAGGTCAAGCTTAGAGAGCGCGTCTGGAAGGAGGATGACCTCGACGAGTTCATGCAAGACTGCCCGTACCCTTTCTAGACATCACCTTGTTTGTAAGAAGGGCTCTTGGACTCCTCATCCCATGTCCCTGATACGTTTGGCATCATGAGAATTGGTCATACTGGTTGGAATACGGAAGGGATTGGATGGTCTTCGAAGCAGGATTAGATTGACTTGAACGAAATGACAGAAGCCATAACCGCTTTGACGCCTGCTAATTCCCTTCGCTCTCCAACTTAGTGTTGTTTGTGTCCGTTGAAAAACTTCGTTGATATTTTCTTTTAGCGACGCTTCCTTTACGTCAAGGTCGACAAAGAGAATGGTAGATTTTCAAGTCCAATGGCTCGCACCAGTATCGATTGAGACGTCCAGGCTCTGACACGTTGAGCAAGAATTAAAGTGAGATAGGTTGAGTGGGTTGATCCAGGACGTGGGACTGGAGGGTGGGGTTTAAGCAGAAAACGGTCGGGAATTCCCAGCAATCCTAGGGGAAAAGAGCTGGTTTGAGTCGGGTGGTGCAGTCGTAGGGCCCCGGCTTGCAGGTCATGCCGCGACGGTTCATTAGTACCACTCTGGTCCACCAGAGAGCAAGGGTTGAACTGAATTTTTTGACTCTTTTTGACTCTTTCTTTTCAAGTTTTGTTTTCCGCAAGTATGCGTTTTGTCATTGCTGATGATGCAACTTGTGTTTACCTAGTTCGTTTCTCAGCATATTGTTCTTTGGCATGTGCGTATAATTTGGGGATTGCGCCACCGAAGCGAACGAAGGCTTGATGCTGCTGCTCGGGTAGACTCAAGCGCTGAAATGCTTAGTTTGCATCGCCCAGCCACTTGGTTGGTACCTTTGTCTGTTGTGAGTAGACGAACCTCAGTGTTCACTTTCGTTCCGCAAGACTCGCCATCATCGGGTATTTAACCCTGATGTTCTTGATGGACCAGTTGCTGGACGGGGCACGCCTACTACGCAGGATCGCCAAAATTCTATTCCAGATGGCGTTGTCGTTGAATCAAGGTGGTGGAGCCAAGCACGCCAAGGGCAAGGTTTCGGCGCCACCCATGTCGCGTGCCAATCATGCACTGCGGCTGCACCGAAAGCAGCACTGTGGCTCTGCGCTAAGATGCGCACTCATTTGCGTTTGCCTTACCCGAAACCCCTGTCGCAATTGGGGGCCAAAACGGCCTTTTTTCATCGCAGTGGCCAAAAAAGCCCAAAAAAGGGGCGTTTTCAGCAGAAAAAACTATCAATTACGCAACGCGCAGCGCATGCGCGTAAATAAAAAAGATACCTCTAAGATCAGTGAAAATAGGGCTATTAATTGGTATACTTTTTTATCGGGCGCATCGCTGTTATAAAAAGTCGATTTTTTCGCGTTCGTCCTCGAAAAAAAAACGCGTTGTTGCTCGAAAATAGAGTTTTCGTCGTTTTTTGCCCATTTTCAGCCCAAAAATGAACTTCCTAAAAACTCGATGTACCCGATCAAAAAGTATACCAATCGATAGCCCTGATTTCGCTAATCTTAGAGGTATCTTTTTTATTTATGCGCATGCGCCGCGCGTTGCGCAATTGTCGAAGAAGAGGTCAATTGACGTCGAAAAAAAGCCCGTTTGAGGGGCGATAAATCGCGCACTGACAGGGGTTTCGGGTAACGCAAACGCAAATGAGTGCGGTGGGTTGCAGCTGGTTTTGGGGGATGATTGGGAAACAGTGCGGTTGCGACGCAAATCCCCATGGCAAGGTGGCATCAAAGTGTCACTCAGCTTAGCAGCTGTTGAAATCCTGCAGCAGCTGAATTTGCGCAAAACAGAATGAATGTGCACGATCACATCAAAGGCTCAATGTGGCTGGTGATGGACAATCGAGGCCCCACCGGCAGAAAAGAGGCTTGCCGAGGCGGTGAGCGAAGACGTCCTGGCAGCCCGAGATAAGATGCTCTCGCCCTGCCGGGCTTTGCAATCAACTGATAAGGAGCCATTTACCGCTGATAAGAGATTGAGGCCGGTGAAAACTCCATGTCGATTCTGCCAAATTGGTATGCACTTGCCTCGCTTTTACTTTTCTTTGTGTTTTTCATTCTCTGATCCTGTTTCACCAGCAGACAACAACGGGAATTTCTCTCCTGATACACCAGGTCCAGCCAAGCTACCGGGATCCCCGGCACCACCGGCGCTGCTGAGAACACCATAGAATGGAATCATCCCCCGGGGAGATCTAATGGCGACTGTCCCTTGGTGTCCAAGTACGTCTCTCGTCGCCCTTCCTTCCCTTAGATGCGTAGAACTAAAAGCTTCAGGCCTAGCATCGACATCAGCAGCGACCATCGTGGTTTGTCCAGATGGAAAAGACAGTTCACTTCTCGAAGTTCTTTGCCAGCAGGGATTTGATCTATGTTCATCATCTCGGCTGCAAGATCAAAGACCTCGAGTGGACCCTCAAGAAGACTCTCATACTTCATGATGAAACGCAGACGACCCTTCACGCCATCGAACAAATTGCCACACGGCTAAGCGGCGCTAGTTCGGCCAGCCTTCAATCCGAGATCAAGCGCCTGAAGGCAATTGTGTTGAAGCTCCACAATGAGATTCAAGCTACGACGGCCAAGATCAGCTTCGCGACGGACGAACGGGGCGCACTTGCTAACCTGGCCAACGACATGGGTCTCGGCGTCGAGAAACTGGCCAACCCGGTCAGACCCGACTACCCTATGCAGCACGCCTTCGAGATCCTTGTTCGCGACGTCCACGAGGGCAAGATTGCTCTGCACGAGTCGGAGAAGCAGAAGAAAGCGCTGAAGGAGGAGTTGGACTACGAAAAGAAATGCCACGCGGAGGAGATCATCACATTGGTCGAGGAACGGGATGAGGCCTTGAGACATGCGAGCATACCTGCTCCCGATACATACAACCATGAGGGGGTCCTTGTCGATCTGCTGTCTTGAGCTTCAACGTCTCATCTCTGGGGTCTATGATTGTCCGCTGTCGCGATGACATCCTGGAGGCAACACAGAACCTTGGCTTCGCCACTCTCTCTAGCAAGGGGCTGATTTCAGCGCGGCGTGAGGTGCGTGAGAGAGAAGAAGGGATTAATTCAGGTCTCTATGGTAGTTACGAGAAAAGCAGAGGCTATTGCTTGTGGCCAGCTTATGGTATCGTCACCATAAAGGTTCATGTGCATCAATCTAGGCCCACAAGGACGTTTAACGTGCTACATGATCGCGCATCATGGTGTCAAACTTCTTTATTCCATTCTTGCTTTTTGCCCTTTTCATTCCACGTAGGCTTGTGGATAAGACCAGGGGTCTTCCACCTTACTGGAGTCTGCCTCTTATACAGACCAGAATAAGATCGACCATAAGTCTAGCAATGATGAGGATGATCCGGCGGCACTACTTTGACCGGTCAGACGGAGGAATCTATTGTGGAAGCAAACGTCAAGAGAAAGATCCAGAGTGGCCTTGTGAGGAATTCAAGCAATGCACAAGCTCTGTTTCTCTGGACACATCAAGTCCAATCTCTCGATATCTCCTTCGCCGTGCCGGCTTGCCCGCCTTCAACTATCTTCGCAGGAAGTCGCTCCCTCAGAGTCACCAAACAGGTCAACGCACACTACTTTCGGCACCTCCGTTTTTCTCGAGCCGACTGTCGGAGTGTCTTCTATCACTCTGACGCCTCAACGCTTCAGATATGTTCATCGCCTTCCCTCAGAACGATTCCTTTTTTACCTCATTCTTCAGAGGTCTTCATGGATTGCTGTGCGAAGTGCTGTAAGGTGCAATGGAGCCTCTATCAGTCTCAAGACGAATACAGTGGGTGCGTTGAAGTCTGCGTTCAAGAGCACACTTCTTCCAAACGTCCGACAGCTCGGGGTCCCGCAGCTCGGGAGTCTTTGAAGAACACACTCGTCACAGACTAGACCAATGGCCGATGCAACAGTAGCAAGGCGCCTTTCAAGTCTAGCAATGATGTGAGCAAGGTCAATGCGAGCAATGTTATTGCCAACCAAGCCGACAACATCGTCACTCTAGCTTGCTTGAATCACCAGCCAGATCACTACGGACCATACATTGGCTCCCTGTTCCAGGATCTCTCCACCGCAAACGGCTTTGCCAGCAAGGTCCGGATTGGCCATATGGGCGAGACCGAGATGAAGATTTGAATAGCGGAACCAAGGGGTCTATCGGGGTAGGAGAACGCGCACAACACAACATTGGCTGGTCCCCTCCCGAACATAGTAATGATGATACTTTTCTCCCGTAGCAGGGACTCTTTGAGCCTTACGAGTATGCCCAGACCCATCGGAGCCTTCTTGCTCAAAGGGAGGCAGACTCGAAAACCAAGAACAGGTTCATCGTCTAGTTATGTTGCCAAGTGAAAGCTGAAGCCAATGATGCGAATACGTACTCGCACAAGGGCCTTTGGTCAGTCGGCTTGATTATTAGGGGCGTCTGGGGAGCGGTGAAGAGGACCTCCATGACTCGATGTTTTCCATGGGGATACAGCCAATGACTTCGGGCATTGTTTAGACGTTTTGGTAGCAGGAAAGGTCACAAAACAGGTGGTACTGTTTGTTTCTTTGAAAGTTACGCCGATGAATCTATAATGCTACCTTTGTCCTCCCAGTTCCCAGAGGGCTATTCATGAAGAGTACTGATAACCATGGCTCATGAAGAGCACGAATGACTGCTGCTCACGAAGAGTAGGATTAACATGTGATTTCCCCCACGTGACCGTGTTTCCGTTGTTGTTGACGGGCGTGATGATGTCTGTAAGAGTTTCGACCGCCCGTGAGCTCATCGCTTCCGAGCCAGCGCACGGATGCGGTCGTAGTGATCGTAAAAGTTGTCACCCCGGTAGCCGTATGTCTTCCAGGGCTCATTATCCTCCACAATGCGGATAGAATACCTTCCATGGGAAGCTCGCCTCTTCTCGGTCGACGGCTCTGTCGTCTGACGAAGCCTCGCTTCAGGCTTTCCAAGATTTCCGCAATTGGAACGCGTGATCTGATTGCTCTGCTGCTTGGAATCAGACGGCTTCTTCTGTGCGTCCTCAATCTTAGGTGTCGTCACAGGGTGAAGAGTAAGATCCCCCATGGCAGACGCCAGTGTCGCGACAGCATCTCCCGTAGGCGTTTCGGCTTTCTTGCTGGCCTTGGTGATCGTGAGGCTCTTGAGTGCCTGCACTGAACGCTCCGCCGCCTTCTTGTCCTCGGTAATCTTCATAAGCTTGGTTCTGAGAGCTGCGCGCTCTGTGTAGAGGTCCCAAAGGTGCTCCAATGAGGCTTTCCAGGACTTTGCGGAGCTTTTGGCGATGTTGGAAGGAGTCTGTCGCATTGGATGGTCAGATGATGGGTCCTGCAAGATATTGAAAGCTTCTCCGATAAGGAGATCTTGTTTCTTGATGGCCTCCTGGTAGGCCCTGGCTTCCATCTCGAGTTTCGTGACGGTCATTCTCAAGACAGAAAGGCTGGTTCGTATGTCTTTGGGTTCTCTAGGGTCTAGGCCTTGCGTTCGTCGCTCTTGCATGTTCTTGGCGGTGCATCTAGTGTCCGAGGTGAGTTTATCAGCATGAAACCTTACTCCAAGAAATTGAACGTACTGGAGGAGACGAGAAGATGTAGCCTTTTCGCAAGGATTCTTCGGCTCAGACGCCATGGTAGAGACACAGCGACGGTCGCTGGGTCGCTGAAGTATGGCTGGAGTAGCAATGATGGAGACCACTACCTTTTCGGGGAGCGTGGCATGTGAAGAGTCTGCCTCGCGTCCATCAACAGGTACCTAAGGTACGCGAGTTTCAGTTGTAGTACGGAAGAACGTTGATACCGGTGCCTGTCGAGATTACCTACCTATCGGGGATGGGTGACGGCTAAGTTACTAGGGCGTACTGGATGTGGCCGGTCAAAATGCACTTTAGCTTCAGGGTGGAGCACCCAACCGCGAATCCTCCACGTAAAGATGAGCAAAACGATGGCAGACACAGAAGCAAAAACACAGAATCCGACCCTTTTTCTATTATAAAACAAAAAATGAAGTTGCAAAAAAGAAATACCAAATTGAGTAGGCAGGTCAGTACGACTTTCGAATGTTAGTACCCCGCCAGGCAAGATACCTCATTCACATGTGTCGAGTGAGCCCGAGCTACCCGTGGCAGCAACAGCACAACCAACTAGGCCAAGTGGCCCAGTGGCTGGCGAAGCCCCGATTTGGTGACAGCTTCCAGAACGTACCCAACTGATATACCATACCACAAGGTGGTGCCGGCCTATGGGGACCTTTGAGCGGCAGGATGCTCCACTTCACTTCACCTCACCCGGTGCCGCGTGTGCTTCGAGTTTCTATCAGTTCCAGAAGGCGCGTACTTGGGCTGCTTTGATGTTCCTACCTCCTGGGTCGGCCTCGCCGCAGCCCTTCGCCGGAAAGATATCCTCTCATTCAACTCACCCAAGCGTCAACGGCCGTTTTGCCTCCACACCACCGCGTAAGTGCACGATCTCAACTTCGTCCACTTCCAACGTTGTCATCTTTGGTTTCTCCCGCCGTCGTCTCTAGTCTTCCTCTTCGACTTTTCGACCCGATTTTCATCCGCATACTTCCAGCACGCTCGACTGCAACGACTGCCATTTTGTCCCAGTCACCATTGTTCAGGTTCCTTCCCCCTATCGCGAAGTCTCTTATCTCCAAGCAACTTCACGAAGGTAATATCTGATACTCGTGAGCCTCAAAACTGCAAGCCTGCTAACCTTCTACTCAGTTCACATTGATATCCCTCACATCAATATGTCGCAGTCCAACCTCAACCCTGGCAACCTCTCCTTGATGGAGAAGTCCATGATGATTGATGGCTTCGCCTTCACAATCCATCTCGAGACTAAGCACAAGAACTTGGCCAAGCATCTCATCGATACCGGACATCGGGCTGTGTTCCGATTCGTCTTCCTCGACCCCGACCACCGCCCGTTCCACACCAGGAAGGAGAAGTTTGCTGCCAGACTTACCAGCATCATTCGAGCGGCTCTGACAAACATTCACGCATACGGTCTGGAGCCCAAGGACGTGGAGAAGCCCGGATTCTGGCCCATGGCTCGAAAGCTGCTGACCAATGACTCAATCTTTGCGTCTGCCACCAATGAAGAGACTGGGGAGTGGAAGTATCTTGTCGAGCTTTACTACTCTGCCTGGCTGAAGTATGCCAAGGACCACCCCCACAGCACCAAGGGCTTTGTGGCCAGTCCTGTTGGCACCAACTATGTCTTTTGGGATCTTCATCTTGCCATAGCTGACTGGAATGCCGTCATGGGCGGCGATTTCCGCGCCACGGTCGACATGAAAGGCTTCGAGATTCTCGAGGAGCGCGAGCACAAGGCCGCTGCTGCCCAATACTACGCTCAGCTAGAGGGCGACAAGAAGTTCAAGAACGCTTCTCTTGCCAACTGGAGCTCCGGCTGGGACATGTGCATCCAGATGATGATGAGCCGATCTGAGAATGTCTTGCAGCAGGAGCGGGAGATGATGCGTCGCTCCACCATGGACAACATTGGCCGTGACCGTCAGATCAGAGACATGGAGAGAGAGAATGATGAGCTCAAGGCCCGTCTTGTCAAGTACGAGGCGATTTTAGCGAATCAGGACGCCGCTGCTGCTGTTCTCAACGATGACAGCCTCGTCAAGGATACGGCGGTCACCGTCGTTAAGGGACAGCTCCAGACCGGTGAGGGCCACACCGACGATGATGATGTCACCATCAAGACCGAGAGCACTGCATACCATCACAGTGTTGCCCAGAAGAGCCCCGAGACGAAGGTTGCCGACAAGGGCGCCGACAAGGCCACCAACAAGGACACCGACAAGGACGAGTCCAACGACTCCAAGTCGGTTCGAGACGAGACTGAGGTTATCGACCTGACTGATGATTGAACGATATCCAACATATCTATGACTCGAGACGTGCTTTCCTATTTAGACTCGTCAGGTCTCTACTAAGGTAGAAGGAGGTTAGTACGAACCTGAAATGTTGAAGGAAGGTTAGCATTGGACTCTTTGTGCCTGCCCAGAATGGGGAAGTAGTCATCATGAAGGGGTTGCATTGCATCACATGAGCTTGTAGAATAGAGATCAAGTATCAAATCTTTGTGGCATTTTCATCGTCGCGATTCTCGACGTTAGGTGGCAATTAACAGCGCAAGAAAACGAACGACCTGGAGTCGCGACCACCTCAAGCCTGGGCAAGATGCACCGTGACACTAATGCGCTTGTGGGTCCGAACTGGGACCCATATCCCAATTAGGTAAGGTAAGGTACCTGGGGTACCTTAGTCCATCTAACCGCATGCCTTCACATCCCCTTCGTTGGACCGTCCTGATCCATCTTCTCCTTCCCAACTTCCATCTCAGCCTTGGAGCCTTGGCTGAAAACTCACCATCGCCATCAATCTTCAATCGCACCTTGGCCACAGCCCTTACTCGCCACGGTCTGGACCAGACGAAGACCCACCCAGCTCGAAGTGATGGCTCTGTCATCCGCTCCTGCCGATCTTCCCGGCTTCAGCCTCGACGGTTCGTTCAAACTGACATTCTTCTACGACGGCGATGAGTTGCTCCCCATTCTGCATCTCGACACTCACACAACCATCGGCGCTTTCGCGTTCCGTCTCACCATGATAGTTAACGTCGTTACTCAACTTGCTTGCGATGAACCCACCCTGAGCCTCCACACCGTCAAGTTTTGGGAGAAGGCCAAGGAGAACCTTCGCGATGATCTTGCTATGTCAGACGCCGACGCCAAAGTCCTGGTTCGTCTCGCATACCTCATCGACACCTACCAGCGAGGCTGGGAGCAGTACAGAAGCACCTACCCCAACGAAGCTGCAGCCTTGCTCGAAGCCCCTCTCGATTACTCGTCTGAGGCGAAGGATGTCCATCAGCTCCATCAAGCCATGCACGACTAGGAGATCGTGCGGCAAATGAACATGACTTCTGCCCAAGCTGACATTGGGCTACCTTCTCCGTCGTCCACCCACGATGACACCGACACGGATGAGTCTACTGATGACGATGAGACTGATGACGATGACGAAATTCACATGAGTCCTGCCATGCGAAAGCTACACAGGGCCAAGCCTGCCACCATCCGCGAGGCAGAGCAATATGTCAACAAGCTTGATGTCTCCGATGAGGACAAAGCCATAATCAAGAAGCATTGTGTCGCCATCCTCCGCGTACAGAAGAAGGCTCATGAGCGAGATCATGAGAAGGCACATGCCAGAGGCTACCGGCAGGGTGACAAGTCAGCCCGCAAGATTCTGAATCAACAGATGCAGGATGTACTCGACATGAACCGCGAGAATTTGGGCAGGGTCAAAGAGCTTGAGGCAGCGATCAAAAAGGAGCAGGCAAAGGTTGCTGCCGTCACTCGAGAGGCTGCCCTCAAAGGCATTGAGCTCCCCTACGCACGCGCTGCCGCGGTGAAGAGAGCACGTGCTCTCACCAGCCCAAGTGGTAGCACAGTGGCGGAGGCGATTTGCATTGATCAAGATTGAAGGTAAGTTGACACTCCAAACGGAAAGGAGAGGATCAAAGACTGATTGTGAATGACACAGGCTTTTCCCAACGAGGCAGCACCAGCACAAAGAAATTTGGCATTCCTGCCATTGCGCTGGAAAAAGAATTGCACGAGAAAGAAACTGGCTATGCGAGATTAATGAGGGAGACTTTGGCTTTCTACTTCCCACACCTTCAGTATGTGACAGAGATGATGTCTTTGGATGCCATTGCCGCCAGCTATCTGGGGCTGAACTCCGAGTTGATATGGAGGTACATGGCTGATGGGAAAGACATATGAGTTGAAGATGGGCTGGAAAGTTGAAGTTCAAAGTATGAAGAACGGTTTTGAAGCTACGTAGTGGAATAGGACGACAAGTGCAATAAGTTCGCCATGGTTTTGACATCATCACATGTGACGCCTTTGATAAACAGGCTGCCTGGGTGCTGTGTCTTTTGCCCCCCTATTGATCACTGGATGAGTGGCGAGCACCTGCCTTCCAGAATCCGACGGGGTTTCTGCCTTAGGCCTTCAGGCGGCCTCGACATGCAAGTTGCAGTCCAGGGGGCTAAGTAGGTACCTAGGCAAGAGCCACACCTTCCACTTCCTCCTTACACTCGTCTACTTTCTGCATTCTTCACCGGCAGGACCAGCGCCGCAATCCTCTCCGACAAATCTTATCCCAATCGGACATCTTTCGACACCCTACCTCCTGATCACACTTCATCAACTACAACCTCCGCTACTGCATACCGTCGCCCACACCGTCTTCCACCGTTCTCACTCAGCCATCTGGGAGTACCCACCCTCGTATGTTGACCCATACCTTTCGGCATTGTGTGTGACGCAGATCCGTCTAACTGTCAACAGCGCAGCAAAAATGACCTACTCGCGAGCTCAGAGACGAGCCCAAGAGCGCAACGAGAAGCTTCTCCGTCTAGATGGCCAGGGTGTTCACTTTCCTCCCGGAGCCTGTCTAGGTTCAGACAAGATCGCGCGCATGGCCATGCGCATTCTTGGTTTGGAACCTTCCGAACTCTGTCCCAAGCCAGAATATAAGGAATTTGAGTTCAACGTGTGGCGAATCCTTCTTCACACCACGCGAGTCGCCGATGACGAGAAAGATATCGAATTCAACTCCCATCCCTTCTGGTCCAAGGTTCTTGACAGGTGCCTTGGCAGCATTCCGTTCAAGATGACTGTTGTATCGAAGGAAGGTTCAAAGCATGGTAGGGGCGTCAAGAATGCTATCTTTCGGATTGTCAACACCTACCGAAAGGCTCGGAGGAGTTACGTTCAGCTACACATGGATGAAGACAATTCTCAACCTGACAACACCCTGTTGGGTTACTTGGACGAACTTGAGGAATTGGAAAAACCTCATCTGCGTAACCAGAGACGAAACCGCCGAAAGCTCCGGAATGGCAATCGCGACGTCCCCCAGATTCTGCAAGATAAGGCAGCCCTGACCACCCATGACCGTGCGGTCAACAATGCACCATGCGCCAACGATGCCGATTCCAGCTAAATAAGTTGTCTCTTGCGAACACAGGTAACTGTACCAACAAGTCTTCCAGTGGCACGAAGCTAATGGTTCAAAGACTTCTATTGCTAGAGAGGCTTCCTCGATCTAGCCCCTGAAAACCGGCAAAAGATAAGTTCGAGGTGGAAGACGAGAGACCGGACGGGTTGAGTGAGAATGTTTTGATACTGTCCTACTATCGGGGTGAAGGAGGAACGGAAATCTCGGCAGAGGAATCAGTCAGGGAGAGATCACTCAATCAACATCATTGGTTCTGGGTTTGGGAAAGCCACCACTGGCAATCAGCATGGCTTCGGAGGAACTTATGCATTGAGAACGCAGCAGTCCCAGGGTACATAGACGAGTGGCAGTAATACCTCGGACAATTGCAGTGGCACCGATCATATGAAACACACAGTGCCTTTGAAGCCTCCGGCAAGCGTTCAGGACATGGCAAAGTGACGGGCACAACTGCCCCTTCAGGCAAACGTAATATTAGAGATTGCTAATTATATTGAAGATGTAATTTTACTATAACTAATGAGACCTTCAACAGAACTTGAATGGCGCGGGGTGAGGGGGGCGGGGAGGCACGAAACGCAAAACAAGCGAGAAGGGATGTGGTTGAACAGATTTCCCAAAACAGTCGTTTTCAAACGTAGATAAGTTCAAAAAGTAGGATCAAGCTCTCTATATGGCGGCTTTCGCACGGCCATTGCTCTAGCCATGTTTCGAACTTGATCCTCGGGGCCTTTCCCGGGCTGAAATGTCAAATGCCGGTAGTTAAACCGTTTGACCAACCATGTGCTGGATGCAGCATGGTTTCAGACTTGAGTACTGCTGCTGTGGGTACGGCGATGCTGTTCAAAGGCTTGTGGTGAGCCAATTGTCATGACCAACTTCAGTATTGGAGACAAAGGATGGTTGCCATTGTTCAAATTCGAGGGCTTATTTATCTGTCATGGCCAGCTAACACTTCTCCATTGCCACAATCTTGGAGGGATTTGCGTGTGGGAGAGCCACACTCTTTAACTAGATCACAAAGGGCCCTCATATCTCGGAAAGTTACAATGGGACATGACAAATGAAAGGTAAGGGACACATGATCAAACCGAAGCCTCTGAGAGAAGTTCGGCTTTCACATCGCACGGTGTGTGGGCAAAAACATTTGGATGTGTAGGTATGTTCCCGATGGGTAGGATCATTTATGTTACTCCAGGCCTGAACCATTGACATTTGATAGCTCGAACCACAGGACAATCCTGAACTCCACTCGTTCCGATCAAAAGCCGAATTCCTTCCATATGCAACGGCTGTTGGTGTTGAGTATCAAAAGCCCGTCCCCAAGTCGTCGCTGATACATCACTGCGGAATCGCCTCCAGCTCGTTGAGCGCATTCTCAGAGACGCCTCCCTCCTCGAAAACCTCGAAAGCCGACATGGCATACATGGCGTCCTGCTTCATGAGCCGGATGTAACCCTTCAACTTCTCATTCTCCTTCTTCAACTCCTCATTCTCCTTCTTCAAGTCCTCATTCTCACTCTGCAAGATAGTTGCCTTCTTCTCAGCTGCCATGAACTTGTCGCGAGAGGTAAGATGCTCCTTCTTCTAGATTTCGGCATCCTTCTCGTGGAGACGAAGCTTCTGCTGCAAGAGCTCTCCCTTCTTGACCTCCTGAGCCAGAGCCTGCTTCGCAGCCAGAGTCGCTTGACCGCTCACAGTCATCAGGTCTTGAAGCTGGCCGAGGACGCCCCACATCTCTCGCAGCGCGAAATCGAATCGCTGGCGGGTAGCGAGCGCAGCCTCTGTCTCATTCTCGCGAGCGACAGGAACAGGGGGGTTGACGATGTCGGCGTGGAGAACGTAGTGCTTGCGGGCGATGCGGTAGTTGTCGACGATGCGCATGACGGCTTGGCGCATGGTGAGGCCCTTGGCGACATGCTCGCGTTGGGCAATCTTGTCGAGAGTGACGATTCGTGTGACCATGCTCTGATAGGCGACTGTCTTAGGACCGATATCGGGGTAGTGCGTGCTGATACCGAGAGCTACACGCGCGAAGTAGGTGATGCGCTTTACGACCAAAAGCTGACTGGCGCCCCGGTGACGCTGGCCAGAGTCGAGCTGGAGAAGACGGAGGGCGGATTCGGCGATATTGCCTGTGCCAAGCACAGGGCCGGCGGCCTTGAAGGTCAAGCCGGGCACGCGAAGGAGATGCTCGAGATCGACGTCGGTCATTTTGGAGTCTTGTTCACGGCGTGTTAGCTATCTCGAAGGCGCATGGTTATGGGGCAGCTTACTCGGGTATCTCGGGGAATTTTCGGACGACAATCTTGAGCTGAATGTGATCTCTGCTCGACTGATGGAAAGGATCGCAAAGACGGTGGTTGTGGTGTTGAGGTGGAAATTTGAAGTTTTGCCTTCTCCTGGTATCCGGATTTCACCTTGCGCTTGGGTCACGTGTTGTCAACGTCGGCGCGATTACAAGCCCGGTGCAGGATTGGAAACCCGTCTAAAATATTTCTTATCTTCGATAGCCCAGACCTTCAGCGCTGAGTTTTCTCTCGGGGCAACTACCGGAGAGTAGTCCTCCCACCACGTGCCCTCATGCTTGCCCTCTAAAGCTCCTACCCTCTGCCCTCTGAAGCTCTTGCCCTCCTGGAATAGCCTCACATTACCCTAGCCCCAGTGTTCTTAGCTAATACTCGAAGGGCCCTAAAGCTGCGGGCAATTAGCGAAGAGCTTCCTCATATCGGTTTTGCGCCTCAGCTTTAGTGGCTACCCAAGCTATATGTAACTCCCTTGCTCCGCCCCTGAGGTGAAGCGCAGCGAAGCTAAAGGAGCTACCTTACGCTCCAGATTAAGCGAGATCAGAACCACCCGTGAAGTGTATTCTCAGCTTCTGCTGCAGCGGTAGGTAGATAAGTAGGAGCGACGCCTTTACAGAGCTCATGTTCACTCAAACTCTTGCTTCGACATAATACTTCAGTCTGCCTACCTAATCAGCAGCTGTAACTTGAAATGTAGGTGTTAACATGCAAAGCTGCAAAAAACAGTGAAAAGAATCACAAAAGGAAAGGATTTCACACTTCGACCTTGGACCAGTATTTCAAATCCAAGCCGCCTGAGACGGGAATCGAACGCTCGACCCTAGGCCATGCCTGTTATCTAGAAGGACTTTCCCCAATCGGATGCATCCTGTGACCACTAGACCTTAGAACTCTGGCAGATTTTGTCGACAGTTTGACTTAAAGCCCAGCCCGAAGGGCGGGCGTGCGCTTGGCGCTAGGAGCGGCTGCTGGCTCTTCGCAGTCTCGCTTCATTCACCATGACGTGGATCGCCAATGTGTGGGTCGCGACGACCAGAAGGTGAGGTCTTCTGGCGGTAGGACAGCCTATCTTACCTAACTAAGCCCGACCTACTGCTCGTTTACTCAACCGCTTGAAGGTGAATTCAGGCGAACCCAAGGTGAGATTGA